CGCAGCGAACTGACCTTGCTTTGGAGGTGAGGCGAATCAACAATTATTCTTTAGCTCTGTTCAAGCGTCGTCGTCGGTTGGTATACCTAATGGCTGACGAGAACTAAGTGGTCAGAATCATAATGGGACTTTTCCCCGTTGTTGTTTTCGCCTGTGCCGATGATCAATCGTTTTCCTCAATGGGGTATTCAACATGACAGAGAACAGGCAGACGTGGCACGCTTCGATTGCATTCACTGAGCAAGCTCGACTCAGACATGCGTTACATTCGTAATTACAACAGGTGGAAACTGGTTGCATCTGAGCATCAATATTCCATGACTGATGTAGCACATATACCGGTCCATCGCGAATGGAGGCGACCCAGACGTCTTTACCTGGTTTGACCAGATATATGGTTCGTAGAATAGGAGTTTTTTATAGGAAAATGAATTATTTATGCAGGCAAGATTCCACTATAGATCAATCGATTTGAGCGAGGAATTTCTGAAGATGCGACCTGCCAGCAGTTGATAGATCTCTAAGCTTTCTAAAGCAAAAACACCCATTGTGGAACCCGGTTATTAGGGTGGTTGGGGAAACCCAATTACAACCTAGTTTAATGGTATTCCTCTTTAAACTAGAAAAGTAGAGATCATCACGATCCTTAAGGCTAAAGGATGTGTAGGTGTTCCATGAAAAGATAGCATCTGAAGAAATTAATGTTTATATTATCATGAAAAAACCTCTCTAATATATAATTACGCAGTACTACATCTTGGGGGAAAAGTTCCTTGAGAACTTAGAGTGATCGCGTTCGTTGTGATAATGGCGGCGATGGCATGTAGGGAAAGGCTGTTAAACAGCCTATGGTAAGTTCTCTTAAACCTGATGACATCGTCCATAAATGGTAAAATTTGAAGATTCAATGAGTCATGGAATTCATGATGGTTTTGCGCTTATGAATAAGTCCTCCATGTCTGGTTTTACGATAGCGTGATTTTATTAATCCCAGAGATATTCTTTCAGTTTTAATACACTGACACTTACGATGTCACCGTCCTTTCGAGGGATTAGGGTGTTGATTTGCAAGTTTAGAAACTTTTGTACTTCGGGTTTCT